CAAACGCCACATTTTTTAAATTGTTGCAAAAAATTTCAGAAATAGCATCAAATTTTAGGATATGGCCTTCTATGGCCAATGAAACCTTCACACGCTGCACGATTGTTGCTTTGTGGTATTTTGGCCCATTCCAAATGCTTTCCAAAATACTCTAGAGACAATAGTCCAACGGATTGGTATCCGGAGATTTTGGTGGCATGATGGTGGAAATGACGCGAGGAACCTCCTTTTTTAGCGATTCTTGGCGGGTGCTGAGTGCGTTGGTGCTAAGTCCTGTTGGAATGTCCAAGGTCTGCGGCCAAAATGTTTGCGTGCCCATCGCTTTAATACACCCTCCAGAATATTTTTGGCGATAATTTTCAGCATTTATTCTGATGCCACGGTCGATTAATACGAGCAGAGAACGACCATCGGCTATTATGGCGGCCCACACCATCACCATGGCCGGCGCTTGAGTTCTGGTGGCCAACTGAAAGTGGACATTTTCAGCTGACCTCTTTGGTAAGTGAACACGATAATTTTGTTTGTTTAAAAACTGCTGGGCAACTAATGTTTTCTCATCAGAGAAAACCCAATTCGGCAGTTCACCATTTTCGACCAAGCGAAGCAACAAATAGTCTCTTTTGAGACTATTTTCTTTTTGTTGAGGAGTAAGTTTTTGCACTTTTTGTAATTTTAATGGCTTTACACCGAGCTTATTTTTCAATATTTGCCGAATGGAATATTGCGATATGTTCAGCTCACGAGCCATTTGTCGGCCACTGCTACGGGGGTTTCGATCAAGTCGCTTCTTTACTTTTCGAACTATTTCTGCTGATGTTGCTGTTTTCTTCCGTCCATTTCCTTGACGTTGGTCTACGCTACCAGTATCACGGTAACGTGCGATGGTACGAGACATAAAAGATTTATTCACATTTAAATGCTGGAGTGCTCTAACGATAGCCACTTGTGGTTTTCCAGACAAATATAAAGAAATCACACTATCACGCTTGAATTCCGTCTCGAATAACTTTTTTTCTGGAAAATTCTCACCAAAATGCTTTTGCACGCTTGTAAACAATATAATGAGCTGTCACTGGAATAATTTTAATAGCTGTCGGACGAGTGGCTTAGAAATGACAGCAGTCTGAACTTAGTTGCTTTTTTTTATCTCTCTGTATCAATATTATCGAATAATTTGTACGCGATATTAAATACATTGTTCATCCTCGCCGTCTTTTAATTGCATAAGACTTTTTTTCCGTTGTTGAATATTGTATCCAAGTTGTTAAATGCTTTATCCAAATTGCTAAACATAAAAATCTCATGGTGAAGTATTTAGTGTACCTTTTAATTTTTCTAAGGAAAATATTTTAATGCTTCGAATAGAGTTCCCTTTTTCATAAAAATATCTTGTACGTTCATTTTTTTGCAAATTTCGTATTTTTTATTTAGTTATTTTATAATTATTGTTTATTTTAACTATAAATTGTAAATTTCTTGCTGTAATGTTTTTTTTTTCTTTTCGTTTGTTTATGCTATTTTCTGTAATGATCCTTTTTTGCGGGATCAATAAAGAGTTGAGCGAGTTGAAAGGAAAAAAATGAAATGGTGCATTATGGTCTATGTGAGTTTTTTTTAATGTTTTTGGGTTATTGGCTCTCGGATTATAGTTTTTCGTTTTTACACTTATTTTTTTTTTAAATTTATAAATATCATATCTCGTTTTAAACTAAGTTTTCTTCTTTTATTATTTTAAAATATTTCTTTTCATGTAATTTATTTTTTGTTTATAATCTATTATAATTAAAAATTCCTGTTTGTCATTTTTATATTATTTTTATGTTTGTATATTTGTGTTTGTTTTTTGCGTTAGTTATAAAATCTTATATACTTCTTTGCAATTATCCATATATCGATATAAATAAAATTGTTTTCCTTAAACTTAATTTTAAGATTCATCATTAAGAAACAATGCAATATAAATATAGATTAATAATTTCTGTTTTTTGCATATTTATTAGACTTTTTTGTTTTTATTTTAAAAGTGTAATGTATGTGTGTGTTTGTTTGTTTCTTTCATTTTCTTTGTTTCCAAAAGAACAACCTTGGGTTATTCTCTTTTTGAATAATATTTCATAATTTTTATTTATATAATATTAATTAATAAGTAGAGATAAATATATAAAGAAAACACAGTATTGTTAGTTTTTTATTTTACATTTTGCATGTGATTTTTTCTTTTTGTTTTTTATACACACACAATACCTCATAATTATAATTTTGTAAGTAAATATTATTTTCTCAACATCGTTTGGTTATTGTTTTCATCTTTTTGTATTTTTGTTTTTTTTTTAAATAATCATGACCTTAGGCCAGAAATTCTTTAACTTACATAGGAAGAAATATGAGTAAAACCATAGAACTTAAACACAAAAAATAAAAACACAGCGTTTATTAGGTTTGATAAGAAAATAAGAAATTATGAATGAATATTAATAACATTTCATTGTCAGTGGGGGGGAAATGGAAGATGGACAAACATACGGGACCTATTTCATATATACAATACAATTTTGAGGGCTTCATAAAAAAATTAAGTTTTTGAACTTGATTTAAATGAATTCAAAAAATTCTTTTTTAAAATGCATAATTAATTGATGATGAAAAATTCTTTCTTAATTTTTAATCTCTTGACTCTCTTTTTAATTTTCACAATTTTCACGTCAAGAGAACCATTCGAGAATTCCAATTGTAATTCGAATTGTTGTAATTGTAATTTGAATTATTTCAATTGTAATTTGAATTACTCCAATTGTAATTCAAATTATTCCATTTGTAATTCGATTTGTTCCATTTTGAAATCGAAAAAAAAAAACAATTTAAATAATTTGACTTACAAATCGAATAATTCGAAATACAAATGGAATCATTAGAATTACAATTGAAATAATCGAATAACAACTGAAATAATTCGAATTACAATTAGAATTCTTGAATTATAACTGAAATAATTCGAATTACAAATACAAATGAAAAAGGTCTGGCGAGGGAGGGATTGATTCTACCGTATACACAAAAGTTAATTCCTTCTCAAATTTAGTCGATATCGAATGCGAGAATTTGGCTCCTGATCCCTTACGACATTCAGCTTTTAATCCAATTTCAGCCAACGAGTTGTGAGTGCATTGGGGCTGAGTGGAGTTCAAATGATTTGATAATTTTGGACATTCTCTTATCTTGGTATATATTTATATTCCAATTATAATTCTATACTTGAATTTATACCAAGCAGTGATCGATTGTTGAATTTCTAACCCGAAAGGATCTGGCCATATATACAATTAGATCTAAGCTAATACAAAGATCAATAATTCATTTTAGCTTAACCATGACGGCATCATTTTTCAGGTCAAAAATTCTGTGTAGATGTCAGTAGCATATAATTCCATTCCAATCCCATAAACTTGGGAGACTTCAAGTGTACAAAATAACACTTTTTGAAATATAAGATTTCCTTCAGCTTGTTTGGTTTTTGGTTACCACAGGAAATAGGCGGCTACTAAATGAGTCTCGCAAGCTATTACTACATCTGCAGCTTTCAAAAGTCTTCCTCTAAGAAGAGGAATTAGAAGAATATGGCCAGTGATCTCGCGAGAAGACTCATTTTAAGATGAGGACATATTTGTATATTACAATTGAATTTCTACTCTGCATTTATCCATTTATTAGGTGACTAGTGATCTTGCGTCCATACACAGGCTCCATTATTTCAAGTTGGCAATGGCTGAGGTTTGGAATCAACAGTGAATTAAACAAGGTAATCTGGCCAGTGATCTCTCGATAAGGCTTATTCGTCCCGTATTATCACATTACAGACACGCACTCTTAGGTAGGTAAAAAGGTACCCGTAGGTTGGAAATATATGCCATTATCATTTGTCTTCTCAAATGTATCCAAATCATTTGATTTTTATAAGATAATCCTCTTATCTTGGCATTTCTAGTATTAATGTCCTGTATTATCGCGTGAGAGACATTCACTTTCCGGTAGGTAGAAATCAACCGTAGGTGGGAAATATATTCCATTGGCATTAGACTTCGCAAAGGAATTCTCGTATGATCCTCTTTTCTTGGCATTTTTTCCATAATCCTGGACAATTCTGAGCCCCTGGACAATGTGGGAATGAAGAAGAGATGTCTTTGATGTCTTGTATAATCGCACAAGATACGCTCACTATTCGATAGGTGGAAATGCAGTAGTTTGGGTATAGATTCCATTGTAATTTATCTTCTCAAACATATCCTCGCATGAACATCTTTTATTGGAATTTCTCTCCGCAATACTATCTAAAGACATTTATATGTATCCAGGGTAATCTATTGAACTTTGATTTTCTGTTTTGGCACCTTGCTTTCTTTTTTTACAAAAATTATATTCTCAATTTATAAGGGGAGAGAAAAGAGGAGTTGTAAAAGATGTATTGGAAAAAGTTTCTCGGAACAGAAATGTGTTCGGTGTTTTTCATTATGTGGTCGATTACATATCCTGTAACCACATTGGTGTTTTATATTTTCTTGTGTTTTATAATATAAATAAAATGAATTGTAATAGGATGAGTCGATCTCAGGTGTGCCTTACCAAACAAAGTTAATGTGTTTGAAGGGAAAATGCAGCGAAAGAACGACGAGGATGCAATCAAAGCCATAATCTTTCCACTCATCTCTATGAGGCCTGTTATTTTACAGAGATTACATTTAAGGTCCACAGGTATGTTAATCAATTCAAGTGAAATATACATAGGTATTTGAAAACATGACCAATTATTTTTTTTTGCGCAGCGAGTAGATGACCCTTTAACACAGCTATATGTTTTTGATGTTACTGGGGAACTGACATTGTTGTTGCTTTTAATGCAAGCTAGAACTTCTTAAATTGCGTTCTTAATTAATAATCCAAATCGTATTCCCACACACCTCTCTTTTTCTTTAGTCAAAAGAAAAAAATGTTTATGTCTTCAATTATTATTCCATATTTATGAAATTCTTTTTTCTTTTAAATTTTAATTAATTGAAATTTTGCAATATTTCTCAATTGCAAATAGTGTACAAAAAACTACAATGTGTTTCTCTTTTTACCAGATTATGCAATGCATTGTGAATGCTTATCGGCAATGAATTTATATAAAAAGAAAATTATAAATTAATACCTTCTTAAAAGCAAATATTGTGTTTACAAAAAACATGATCTTTTTTCTTCTTATACTTTACATAAATATTTGTCCACCTGGTATATTGTGATGGGTGACATACAAAAAAGAAAGAAGTAAAAAAAAGACTTTGGGATATAATGAAGTTCTGTGAAACTTAAAATAAGCTAAAAATAGTTGGAGAAAATAGGAAAAATAGAAATTATTAAAAATTATAATTATTAACAATTTTAGGATAAAAAATAGTTTTTTGTTGTTGTTTAAAAAAGATATTAGCTTAAAGCTTAATTTAAATTAAAATTAAAAAAGCATGATAGTTGAGTTGGAGAAAATATGTTTGCAAATAATGCCTACTTTCAGCAGCGAGAGAGAGAGAGAGAGAGAGTGGGGAAGAGAAAATAAACAACCTAAATTTAAAAATAATTATCAAAAGGTTAAAGTAAATTAGTCAAAGTGCTTAGCACTGCTAATCTAGCATTTTGCCAAAAAACAAAATATTTAACAAATCATTGAACGATAACTAAATTTGCGGCGAACTAGCAGCCGTGGACGTTGAGGCCGTGTTTGCATTAATAATATCATCAATAGACGCTTTATGTGTATGTGTCGCTGTACTCGTTGTAGTTGTGGTGGTTGCAGTTGCCACTTGGCCAGTCTGCTGTTGTTTTTGAATATCATTGTCATTGGATTGGAGTTCATTTCTTTGTTTTTGTTCCTTCTTCTTTCGATTCGCATGCTCGTCGTCATCATCATCATCTTCGTTTATTGGCATTTCCTCATCTTTGTTTTTTGTGTCCTTCTGGTTTTCTGGCGAAGTGGATGTGATGTTATTATTACTGCTATTTGTGGAATTACAATTAAAGGCACTGCCTTGTGAATTGTTATTGTTGTTACCGCCACCATTACCACCACAACCACCTTCATCACTACTCTCCGGTATCGGTGTTGTATTCTGTTCACTTTCCATGGTCTCGTCCAGAACACTTTGATTTGCACCAGCATTTGGCGAGTTACTTTCCTCTTTTTGCATTAAAATCAAAATACTTTTGATGTACGTTTCCATGGTAAGCAAAAGTTTAATGCGTTTTTCGTGTTCATCCATTAGACGTTCATCGGCAGTTTTCTTTGTGGAGTTTTTCTCAGAATTTATGCTAGCGTAAGCAGCAGAACTTAGAGCCGCGGCAGCAGCAGCAGCTGCAGCCGCCGCTGATGTTGAGGGTGTTTCCAGAAGACAAGCCTTTGTTGATTCCTTACTTTCCTTTACAGGTGATTTAATAGCCTCCTTGTTTCGATCTTCCTCAGTTTTACTGTCAGATTTTGTTTCCGTCTCTTCAGAAGATATTTTTGGTTTCTTCTTCACTTCCTCAATATCGTTGTCTTCCATTAAGCATCTCTTCAATGTTTCCTCTTCCTCCATTTTAGAATCATCTTCTTTTTGTTTTGTGTTGGCAGTTTTTTCATCATCATCGTTATTATCTTTTTTGTTTTCATTAGCGTTGGTTCTTTCGTTTCGTTCCTTATTGTTTAGCTGGTCTACATCATCCTTTGCAATGGGAGTTTTGTTCAATTCCTTATCGTCTTTATCATCAGTGTCCAATTTCAGCTTTTTGTTGGGGAATAATTCTAAAACACAAAAAGAAAATTGTTAAGAGTTTTGTAAAATATTTTTTTATGCGCATTTATTTTTACCATCCTCTGCAATTTTTTGATAACGGGCGCTTTTGTACAACAAAGCCTTAAGAGATCCCCTTAATTGTTTGCGAACTGAGGCCGGTATACCGGTGCATTGGGCAAATACCCTTATGGCAAAAAGATCGCCGCACAAATCATCCAAGTCCTCTTTTGAGTGCATGGAATAACTAATGGAGTACAAAAGACGTGCAATGGGTAACTGGGAGGAGACCTAAAAATATCGAAACATAAAATGATTTAATTTGCCTATAGAGAGATTTCAAGGGTTACTTATACCTTGGGATAATAGATTTCCAAAAATCCTCTTATATACTGATCACTCAACGAGACACGACAGTCCCGCAGTATTATATGTATATATTCCACCAAATATTGAGTATTAAGCAACAGTTCCGCATACCTGTAAAAAAAAAAAAAAAACAAAAAATATACAAGAATTAATCATCAATTTACAATCGGTAAAATGTGTCTAACCAAACTTACTTATTAGTACTCTTATTATTATAAATGCCAACCCAAAATTTGGGAAAATAATTAAAACCCAACGGAGCTGCTTCTATGGCCGCCAAACAGCTCAATCTAACCAGTGTATCATTTAATTGATTTGTATTTACAGCCATTCTCATCATTACATCCAGAAAATCGTGATAGGGCCTGTAGAATGCCTCAACCTGGGCATCATAGGCAAAATCTACACCGCGATGCAACAGTTCACTGTGTGGTATACACATTTGCACCATCGGTCTCGGTGGTCGTGGCATATTTTTGGCCATAGTTGGCCATGTTGTTTTTCCTCCTCGGCGCGGGAAGTATGGACCCAAAGGACCAATTGCATTGGGTGCACTGGCCGCCGACAAATGACAATTAAGTAGAATGGGTGCTAAAATACTGGTTACATCCAAATTAGGATTACGCACAAGCTCTTTAAGTACATCCAAGGCCAGGCAGCATAATTCCGGTGGGCTGTAGGTATTTAAGAATGTAGCCAATCGTTTTACGGCGTCCGGTAGACCCTTCAGCAGAGCTGTGTGCTGTTGATGTTGACGCAGAAAATGTTGTTGCTGCAATTGCTGTTGCATTTGTTGTATCTGTATTTGCTGCATTTGTTGCTGTAGCTGTTTTTCTTTTTGCTGTTGTTGGGTTTGCTGTGGAGACTGTTGCGACTGTTGTTGGGACTGTTGCTGCTGTTGTTGTTTCAATTGTTCCTGTTGTTTTTGCAACAATTGCTGATGCTGTTGTTGCAACTGCTGCACCTGTTGTTCCAATTGTTGCTGTTGTTTTTTGCTAGCATTACTGTCGAGGCGTGTACTCAATCTCAGTGTGCTCAAAAGTAAAACCATTTCGCTTAACAATTCCTGCAAGTCACCCGAGACATGACAGGCAGTGGCCTCATGATGCATGGAATGTAGTGTGTGCAATGCCTCAAAACACATCTCCAAGCCACCATTATATATGACCAGGAGACGATCTTCTTCATTGTCAACTAGAAAAAAAAAACGAAACAAATCGCCATAGATTAATTAATGAATGAAAAAATCAACATACTCTGTCCTACCTAAAATTCGAAAAGCATTAATCAATGTGCCCCATGAAACCCGGGCATCTAGTCCCGTTAAATAAGCTGACAATGTGGTACGACGGAATGTGGTGACTTCATGTTTTTCCTGGTCACTGGCATCCATGTGACGTGTGGCAAATAGGGTCATCAATTTAAAAAGTTCATCTACAGCGGCCGCATATTGTGTGGGATGCGGCGTTATATTCTTGAAGGCCCATTGCAAATTTTGATGAGCGGCCAGCTGACGTGTTAAACTACGGCTTCGTTCACAACATAAACGCAATAAACCATAATAGGCTGGCAACATGGCGCGGTTATAGGCCACAATTTCGGAATCGTCGTGATCGGCTCTAGGAGAGGGAAAAAACAAACAAATGATTTGTAAATTGTTTAAGAATATATTTTTGAGGATCTTTTTCTGATACTCATCATAATCATCATCAGACCTACTATCTTGGATTAGGGTCATTACAGTGTATTTAAGGAAATAAATTTAATATGACCAATTGGAATGCAGTTGAAGATTTTATAAGAACAATTTTGGGCTATCAGAGTTTAAAGAAAGTGCTGTCAGTGTTGATTTTTTTAGAATATATTTGAAGTTTCCTCGTCTTATAATAAAGTATATTTTTTTGCGGCTATGATGAGTGCTGAGAGAATTCATATAAGGCCCATCGATCTATTTTCTTATTTTCCGGATACCAATCCCATGGACTATTGTGTCTGTAGTATTTTGGAAAGCAAGGTTGGCACTAAAAAATACCAAAGTTTCGATCACCTCAAGCAAGCACTTCGCCGGGAATAGACCAAAATACCGCAGAGCAACATTCGGGCAGCGTGTGATGGTTTCATTAGCCGTTTGAAGGCCATAATTCGTGCTAAAGGTGACCAATTCGAACAAATCTAAACTTATTCTAAAATTTGATACTATTTCCGATATTTCGCTCTCATTCAATAAAAACAAGTAAGCAAAGGCTATAGTCGTGCGGGGCCTACCATGTGATACCCTACAACACTACAATATGTTAGAAGCCCCCTTATGCCCAAATCCATTTTGGAAGATTTCGATTTTGAAATTATGTCACGGAGCACTGCCCAGATATTACTAGCGTTTTGACCAGGGACATTTAACCAATATTTACGAACTTCGTCGTGCTGTTAGTTGTTATGGTCCATTTTACAGCAAAATATAATCCAATGGCCATACATAATGCTAGACTTCTTCCCTGTCCCTAACTTTCTTCTCAGGCGTGTCGATTGGCTTCAATTGTGTGATCAGGAAATTTTCCCTGTTTTTGAATATTGTGCGATCATCTCCAAAAGCAAGAGGTCCCTCTGTATTTCTAAATTTAGACTCATTTATATGATTTGCTTGTCTAGGATATTTGGCTATATTAGTCAACGAAATCAGCAAAAAAAGGCTGTGCTCTAACTTCATGCGAGATTTCGTGTCCATTAGTTTCTATTTTGACCTTTATAACGGCTGCAAAATCAGGAATATATTGCGGACATCTTTGAAAACAATAGGCGTAGCCCTTCTGAGCCTAACCCTACCCTTTTTGTGAGGATCGGACGAAAATTGCAATCTGTGTATAATATCCCAAACCTGTGTTGTAAGGTGGAAAAATATTAATATTATAAGTCAAATTGAAAAAATCGCATGCGATAAAAAATATGAAAAACAAATAAAAAATGTCACAAAATACTACAAAATCTATATTAACATAATTTTTGACTTATTTTTATGCGATTTTTTTAGATTTTTTACTTTTATGTCAAGAGTGCGTTCTGAATTGGCAAAAATCGGTCCAGCCATTCTTGAGATATAAGCATTCCATCTAACATTCCTTTCCTTTGTATATACACGTTGTATATATTTCGCTATATATATCCGATATATTTACTATCGGCATCTACGTAACGGTCAGAATTGACCTGTTCGTCTATTTATGATTTAGCCGGGACTAAAAATATTCGCCGTTTAATGGAAATTTGACTTTTATTTAACACATAGCTTTTATTTAACATATAGCCTTTTTCACCCACTAAATATTACCCGATGACCATCAAAATTGGAAGGCTTCTGTCCAGCCCGAAGATCTAGCCCCATGCTAATTTCCGCGTCGATTGGTCCATAATTGCGACCTGTAGAGCAACTGCAAATTCAAGAAATTTTTCAGTTTTTGGTCCATTTCGACCCCTAAATATTATGCGATCATCTCAAAAAGAAATAGGGTTCTATTCTGACCTTAACCCCACCTCCATTCTAAATTTCGTGAAGATTGGGCCATAATTGCGACCTGTAGAGTGGTTACAAATTAACATGGACAGACGGACGGACATACATAGCTAGATCGACTCAGCTCGGCGAGATAGGAAGATCCATATATACTTTCCTATGTGGGAAATCAATATTTCGAGGTGTTACATAATTTTTGGCCCAATCAAACTTATAATACCCCCAACACATAGTGTTGTAGGGTATAAAAATGTAAAAATTATGGCGTTTGACTTGGTTGCAGTGTTTTATCTCACCCTGTATAATATTAAGTTTTTTAAACACATTTTTGTTAAGAACTATGATGATGGATTATTTAAGAATACCTTTGAACGGTCTCCCCATTTAAGGAATTAGGATTTGACAATCGAGTATTTTTATACTTCCTCTTCAAACGAATTTTTTAACCTTTGGCAACATTCTGACGTCTTTCTATTTAAGGAATTTGGATTTCACGATTTTATGCTTCTTCTTCAAATTAATTTTCAAGGCCTTGGCAACATCGTGACGTCTCTCTATTGAAGGACTTGGATTTTACGACCGAGTATTTTAATATTTCTTTCAAATATATTTTTAAGGCCTTGGTAACTTTCTGAAGACTCTCTGTTTGAGAGATTTGGATTTGACGATCGAGTATGTTTAAACTTCCCTCAAAGGGATTTTTAAGGCCTTCGTTATTTTTTGAACTTTCAACTTTCTCAAAGGCATTTTTAAGGTCTTGGTAACTTTCTGTAGTTTCCCAATTAAAGGGATTTTTAGGGTATTGAGTTCTATCCAAGTGTTTTTTTTTTTTTTTTTTTTTTTTGGAATAGCTTATTGGGGTTCCGTTTCCACAAAATACTTACAATATATAATTAAATGCTATATTCCTTGTGATTTCTGGACAGTTGGCTACAATCAATGCATTTTCGGGACAATCGAGGATGGTATGATGCCAAAATGCCAACAAAGCGTGTTTATTGTGATGAGCTGGTACACTTGGCTCTGACAAACGTGGATGAAATAGATCCCACAAAGCACGCATGTAAGGACCCATCTACAAAAAATAAAAATGTACGAAATTTTCCTATTTAGGACGAAACTATTCTTACCATAAGTTTTTCAGTCTTAGATGCCATACAATATGCTAAAAGGCTAAAGTAAGAAGTTAATTTTGTTGTACCATGAACGCCAATATCGGCGTATGCTCTTGCTGGCCGCAATAAACGTAACAGCAAATTAATGATATTGTGTAGAATTATTTGAGCATCGTTGTTAAGTTCACTGGAAGATAAGACAAATAGGTATTTTATTTGAATTGACATTTTTTTGCGGAAAAATAACGTTCTCACTCACCGATAAACATGAGATGATGAAGACGATGATAATTTGTGCAGTGAATGTATGCGGAAATTAGCCCTAAATGGCTGTGATGGTACCAGTGAGACCAGTAAATATGCAGCAGCTGAAATATATTCAAGTTGCAGACAATTAAATATAAACGATTTTCAAATTCCTTATTTATACGCACCATTACGAACTCTTGAATTGTGATGGGCAAGCAAATATTGCTCCACCCATGTATCGGCCGATTGTAAGATCCAGGCATGTGCTATTTTATTTTTGGGTGCTTGAAAAGCCAGCCAATCCAATGCCGACTGTGGACAGTATTCGGCAGCATCCCAAACCCGCTGCAAAACTAATTGAGAAAAACATGGCAGGCCAGAGGGTCCACCCTGAGTTTCTGTCAACAATGTCAATAGCTTAAAGAAAGGACCACACAATTCAGTGTGCTTGGTTACAGATGTAAACAACATGGTTATGATTTGATTGGCCAAACGCTCGTCCCAGCGACAGAGAGCATGTATTAAATGCCTTGTTTGATGAGGATTTATGTTATCTTTAATTTGTTGATACAAAAACGGGAAACCCTACACAAGATTCAAAGATAATATCTACATTACCTTGCAAAATATATAACTTATCTGAACTTACCTTGCCGCCTGCAATGGCGTTATAGTCCTTGGGCGACAATTTCAAACGCAAATCTGCTCCCCTCGATCGTTCCACTAGGCTTGCCACCAAGGCAATCATTTTATCCAATGAAGCTGGCCTTGTCTTATCCACCGATAATGCCTCATCCGAGGAATTATCATCGTTATCCGAACCAACTTCAAGCTGAAAATTAAGTCATAATTAATAAATATTACTTAACAAATAGCGATTAAACTTACATTATCATGAGTCTTATTGCCCAAATAGAAATCGGCCACACTTTTTATAACACCAATGCGTAACAGAAACAAAGTTTCCTCATCGCCCATGCGTGAAAATTCGAATAGCAAGCCAAAGAACTCGGAAAGATTGCGTAAATGGGCTTTAGCACCATGCTCCATTAGTATGGTCAATGAACTTATGAAACGAGTAACACATGAAGCTGTTCCAATGACCTCCTTGTCATCGACATCCGATTCGGTTTTCAAATAAAGATGGCAATGTGAAGCTCTGTAAATAAGGAAAAATGTTTTTGGTAAAAAATAACAAATATGAAATGCCTTTGAAAGGGTTAAACATCTGAAATGTCATTAACTTAGACGACCTTTTCGTTGTTTATTCTCCAAAAGTTAAGTTTGTTTACACAAATGTTTTTTGTTTTCAGATTAAACCAAAAAAAACCACCTAGCCATTAATATGTAGTTCAAATACTAAGAATTTCAATTAAGTTCAATCATTTTCAAGATACCTGTGGAAAATATAGTTTAATATCAGACAAAATGAAAGTGTTTCTTTCTTTTGTAATTCTTGTGATATTTTCATCACAAATTTCGGCGTTTATACCATTTGACTATGTGGACATGGATGCAAACCTAGAGAGAGGAGACAATGGTAAACCACAAAAAAGCACAGATTTTCTTGGTGAAATAGAAAAGAGTTTAGCAAACGCTAAACAGAATTTCTTCACAATTTTAGATAACTTTTCACAGGTAAAAATACTTAAAATTTTTAAAATTACAAATTTAATTTACAAAATATATTTTAACAAAAAAAAAACCTAAACATTCATCTTATATTTCAGAACCTATTGGATTTATTTTCGTTTAATACAAATCAAAAACCTTCGAAGACAATGACAACACCAAAACCAATTGAAGAAAGTACCTTAACAGTCTTGCCTACATTGTCTTCAACAACCATGCAATCGCCAGTCCCATCACCACCATCATTTTCGACCACAGACTCCCCAATAACAACATCCACCGTTGAAACTACCACAAAGATTTAAGGACTATAGTAACTTGATTTTATAAATTTGAATGCTTCGGTAATAAAAATTAAACATTTTTACCAAAAAAATGAAAATAATAAAATTGCCAAATCTACATATATGTCTGAATCTTTTACTTTTAACAGGATATTTGAAACACACTGAATTTGAAATTCCAATAAGTGTTTTACAATGTTCTTCAGAATATACATAGGTTTCTAGAGTCAGATTATAGATGCATTTTTCCTATGATATACGCATAAATGGAACTTTCCATAATTTATCTTCGTCGCATACTTGTTTATGTGTGGGATTTGGCTAGATTCTAAATTTCGGTGTCAAATCCTAAGGTAATTCATAACTTAATCGGAAGGGAAATTTATCAAATATTTATCCACATACGGCCATCGCCCAAATAAGGCAAACATTTCTGATACATTTTACTAATTTATACATTTTTTTAAGTTTGTTACACACGGCTGGCTGAGGGTATAACAATTCAGGATAATAGCTCAAATATCCCTTACAAAAATATTCTACTAAATAGATCGCTTGCCTGAAAAAATCCTTGACAGTCCGTTCAAAAATTGATTTCAAAAGAAATCAACGATTGTACCTCAAATACAATAACGATGTTCCTTTTAAAATATATCCACAAAAATAAAATATATTCCTTAAAAATTTCTCGATTGGAACTTCAAAAAATTTTAAGTCTTCAAAAATATTCCCACAATATTCACGAATGTCTCTTCAAAAGAAATTACTAAAAATTCACAATTCCACGTTTTTCACTTCAAAATATATTCCTAGAAAGTCCACGATATCCAAAGATATTCTAAAACCACGTTTTTATGTTCAAAAAATATATAAAAAATCACGTTTTTTTTAAAAAATATTTCTCTTCTCAAAAAATATTCTTTGCCTTTTCAAAAAGTACAGGGTGAGATGAAAAAACTGCAACCTACTTCAGACTGCTGTCATTTCTAAGCCACTCGTCTGACAGCTGTTAAAATTATTCGAGTGAGAAGCATTTTGGTGAGAATTTTCCAGAAAAAAAGTTATTTGTGATGGAATTTGGCTGGAAAACCACAAGTGGCTATCGTTAGAGCACTCTAGCATTTAAATGTGAATAAATCTTTTGTGTCTTGTACCATCGCTCGTTAACGTGATAATGGCAGCGTAGCCCGACGTCAAAGAAGTGAACGGAAGAAAACAGCAACATCAGCAGAAATGGTTCGAAAAGTAAAGTATCGACTTGATCGAAACCCGTGTCGCAGTGGACGAATAATGGCTCGAAAGCTAAACATATCGCAATATTTCATTCGGCAAATATTTAAAAATGAAAAATGAGCCATTGCAATTTCAAAAAGTGCAAGAACTTACACCGCAACAGGAAGAAAATAGACTCAAAAGAGTCTCAAGCGCCGGCCATGGTGATGGTGTGGGCCGCCATAACAGCCAATGGTCGCTCTCCGCTCGTATTAATCTACCCTGGCATCAGAATAAATGCCGAATATTATCGCGAAAATATTCTGGAGGGTGTATTAAAGCCTTGGGCACGCAAACATTTTGGCTGCAAACCTTGGACATTGCAACAGGACTCAGCACCATCGCCTCAGCACGTGTCACCCAAGAATGGTTACAAAATTAGATTGCTCTCTTCATTTCCAGCGCACAATGGCCACCAAAATCTCCGGATACCAATCCATTGGACTATTGTGTCTGGAGTATTTTGAAAAGCAAGGTTGGCACTAAAAAATACCAAAGTGTCGATCACCTCAAGCAAACGCTTCGCCGGTACTGGGCCAAGAGGCCGCAGAGCAACATTCGGGCAGCGTGTGACGTTTTCATTGGCCATTTGAAGGCCATAATTCGTGCCAAATGTGACCAATTCGAACAAATCTAAACTTATTCTAAAATTTGATGCTATTTCAGACATTTTTTGCTCTCAATCAATAAAATTAAAAAAAAAAAAAATAAAAATTATAGCGGTTGACTTTGTTGCAGTTGTTTATCTCACCCTGTATTCTAAAAAAACCGCGTTGTTTTTTAAGATAATACTCTAAAAAGTCCACCAATATTCCCCTGAACAAAATTTCTAAAAAATTCTTAAAATATGTTTGTCCAAAAATCCACGATGGTTTCATAAGAAAAAATGTCATACGTCATTGAAAACCACTTCTTAATAAATGAACGATGTAGCTCAATTGAGACCCATTACAAAAGGTTCTTAAAAAAATAATAACAATTATATATCTCCTCTTTCATTTTAAACTCCACCGATATAGATAACTTCTTCCCTCAAAATATTCTTGAATAACCTACACACAATTGCTACACAAAAATCTCTACTGCGGATTTTCTTCTATTTTCCCTTCAAAAATATTTATAAAGGGCACGAATATTAATCCTGTTAAAACCTAAAATAACATTCCTTATGCAATAACTTTCAATATTACTCCGTAGCAAATTAACTACAACTTACCGCAGTCTTTGAATAACATGTATGACCAAACGTTGAAACATCTGGCGAACCATTTGATTGGGACATTGAATTAAAACTTGTACTGGCCACCATGGTTCCATTGACATATGGGTCAAAAACCATTCACAAGCCTCCTGGCTGGCATTGAATTGTTTTGTCAAAAGTTCCACCCATGGTACCATAGTTGGCTGAAAATATAACATTTCAGATTATTACCCTTAAATAATAAAAACGATCGAAAACAACGAACGTACCTTTTCTTTGGCATGTATAAATGTTTCAATAAAAAACGATACGGACAGCTTAGCAGCCATGCAAGTGACATCTTGCTGAGATATCAAGGTTTGTGGGATATGGCCACAAATTTGCCACATGAAACTGAAGGGAAAGTTGAATATAAAATTACTAGGAGTTTGTAAATGCTTAAATATTAAACTTACTTAAAGTAGGTATGTTCAAATATGTTGCGATCTTGTAAAAATTGTCTATTATCCTGCCATATCCAGTCTTCCAGTTCCTTACTTAATTGTGGTCTTATAAAATGATCAGTTGCTTTATTTGCCAAGCTGCTGGATGTGGGCGTTATTGCAGTGACATTGGATGACAATGATGTGGATCCCGTTGATGTGGATGGTATCTCTGTTTCTGTGGTCGGTTTATCAGTTGCCTTTTCTTCGGGGCTTTTACTTTTATTATCACATTTGCCTTCCGGTGCTTCTTTCATTTCTTTTCCTTCAATTGGTGAAACATTTTCTTTTTCCTTTGAACCTTCATCCGTTGACGTTTCGTTTTTCATCTTTGGACTTATTGTCATTGGTGGCGAAGCCAAGAGATGGGCATGTTTTTCTTTGAGGTGTTCAGGCAATCTTCGCTCATAGAACAGCATATAGGCCGAATTAGTCTTTTCAAAACTAAAATCTAAATATTTTTCTGTCACGGAATCATAAGTTTTGCTCTGAAATAGAAAATCATTTTTGTTAACATTTTTGTGTTGGTAAATATAATTTGTTGGGTTTACCGTCATTTCTCCACCAAAACATTCAGCTGCAATTTGTGAAGGATCGAAGGGCTTGACTTCAGCATCATTGAAAAGGAACCAACGATCATGTTGCATTGCAGACTTATTGCGCTCCTTGATGAAACTATAATAGTGGCCACCATCAGCCGTGCCGGTATGTACAGTGACCCCCACAAGTTCATATCTTTGATAATTAAAAAATGCCCACTTTAGAATGAATTCAAATAAGCACCAAATAAAACTTACTCTAAACATTCTTCCAAGTCATCCTCCAAATCATTTGCATTTCCTCCTTTTTCTGCTTTTCGTTTTTCACGATCCTCTAAAACATGGGAAACCACAAAAGTATCTTTCAATAACAATGCATATATAAAACTGAAATCTTTGAACGCACCTTTATATTGATGTGGCATTAGAGTTTTCTCCACATAATCCGACATATTCAAACGCATGGGAAATGAAAAATGTGTATTAACCTTCTCCTTCAGCATTGTCACCATATTAAAGGTATAACGCATCGTGTTGAAACACAAAATCTGTGGCAATTTCTTAAAACATGCCCTCTTCTCAGCCCTAACTTTTTTGCCGCATTGCGAACATGTATACATATTATCACCCTCCAATGTGTCTTTGACAGTCACCTCATCTAAGGATTCCTGCAAGTTACGCATATCAGCTACTTGGCAACGTACCGTATAGAATTCTTCAGCTGTCCTAGAGACATGATCACAGTCCAATGAGACGACATTGTTACTTAAAGTACCACAAAATAGACGTTTGACTAAATCCTTAAGGTCAGGAGTCATTTCTTCCAGTTTCGAGACAAGATCAATAAAAAATTCAGCCATATCCTTTTGTTCGCCCGTATTCAGTGGCTGGTGATCCATTTGGTAGACACGACAAAAGGATCGTGGATTATAGGCTTTGCGTTCAGATTCCAAAAGATATGCAAACATGCGTTGTAGTTCACGCAGGGTGGGTGCATGTTTTTGGGCCTTGCCTGGTGGGACTCGAAGAACAGCAGCTCTGGCCTGTGGCATCATATAGAGATGTTGTATACAGGAAGCCATATAGCAAGTGGCACCCAAATTTGTCAGACCCACATAGCCGCACTCCGAACGTCCTTCATCGCGTGGCCAATAGTCCCATGGATATGGTGGCATTGGTCCGGGCGTATGTTGCGCCAACAGCTTCTGATGCAAAAATGTGTAATTTTTCGGACAATTCTTACACAATTCCACCAAAAGATCATAGGCCGCTGCTCTCGATGTGGCCGATTTGCATTTGGGCTTTTGACGATTATTTGGTGAGGGCATATCAAATAAAAATTCAAATATCTTCTCTATGAATTGTACAGCCTGGGAACTGAACTTAAAGGTGGGATCATATTTTACTAAATTCGACATAAGATTGATGAGACCAACCAAGCCATCGTCCTGCATTCCATAACGGGTTTCATAGAACTCACGCGTGAGTATACTCTGAGCCACCGACTGGCATAGCTTTTCAACATCAATGGCATCTTCATTGTAGGCAGATGACTCCAGAGAAGATTTAACCATTTCCGGTGATAGAGTATCAACCAATCGGGCCAATAACCAAAAATAATCACGACAAGCCGGTCCATATGGCTCCTTGCCATCATCCGTCAACATATAGGGATTGTGGTGATTGTAAGAGGTCATTTTTTCTGCCACGGGCAAAAACGAAATCAATTTCCTCAGCAATGGTGCCAACAGCTGCTGATAGCTTTGAGAATTACCCAAACATATGCGATATAGACCGGCACAAATTTCTCGTCTAACCGCCGGTTCCGGATCTTCCAAAATGAATTTCTGCACCCAGTTACAGTACTCGGCATGAGCCCACAACGATCGTCTAGCCTCAACAGAGGCATGAACAAAACTGACCATGATGTTCATAGCAAATTGTACAACTTGGGCTCGACCCCAAAAACCAGTCCTCAAATGGTGATATTGATAGCTTGAAGTGGTGGCCAAGTAATTGCTATAGGCTTCGTCATTCAATATGGAAGAGAGACGTCTTAAGCAAGAATCTACTGACATCATTTCCAACATAAACTCTTTGGGCTTTGAAATGGACACCAACATATCCTCGTGATAATCCTCTTCGAATCCCAACAGCCATAAAATGCGCAAGAGACTGGCCAAACAATCGTGTCGCCATTCATTCAACAATTCTTTGGGATAGGAGCTTTGTTGTAATTGGCCCGATATGAAGATATCATAAAGATGTTTTAAGCCGCCACTACGTATGAAAATTTCACTCCATTTATTGTCGCTCGTTGTGGATGTGTCCATTTGCGTTGATGCAGAACATTCCGATTTCTTTGCCTTTTTTGCCATGTGTTTGAGGGGACTACTGGGCTCCTTATCACTTGTGGTTACATTGTTAGCTGAAGTGTGTTGCTCACTTTCTGGTGTATCCATAGAAATCATTGTTGAATTTCCTTCCTTTCCCATGTCCGCGGAAAATTCTTTATCCCTTTCATCGCTGCTAATTGGCTTGGAAGAATCTTCTTCGTGGTCTTTGTTATTATTACTGCTCTGGGGACTTTCGATGCTGTCACGTCTTCTGGCTCCGGATGATACACTGCCGCCTGCACTGCCAGGACAGCTACCACTTCCACTGCCGCTTCCGGAACAGGTACCTGCACAACTGCTACTGGCTTTCTTAGATTTTGCTGCCGATTCAACACTGATAATATTACCATTTATTCCCCCACAACATGGTGCACCACCACGTTGCTGAAATACACTATGCAATGCCAAACTCTCCACAATATGTAGTGAATACATAAATTTTTGTAAATTAATTGGATCCAATAGTTCACATAATTTTTGTTTGATTTTTTTGTGTTTGTTTTCCTTCTCCTGTTCCTGACCGTTCGCGTACTGGTCACATTCCGTCAGATCACTGGCCAAACCTTTGAATGCATCCAGAATTGTGGGATTTGTCGGTAATATAGCCAAAATATCCCATACACGTCGTGATAATATCTGTGCCTTGGTATGCAATTGCAAATTATTCGGTTGGGGTTTCATATCGCCCAACGTTTGCATCAACGAGAAGAGCTTTTCGAAATATTTCGGTTGTAGCAATAATACTGTGGGTAAACATTCTTTGGGTGGTGGCGGTTGCATTGATGGATGATCGATATTCGTTTCTTTGCGTCGGGCACCTCGTCCTCCCAGCGATACATAAACGATCTGGAAGAGAGTAAAATTAATAGGAGCATTTTAAAATAACGCTGAATAACAAATGCCTGGTGGAACTATATAAATTGATTATATAATTTTGACTTTGTTCCTTACCTGGTTATCCTTAAAACCTGCATCTCCCAATGTCCTTTCATCATACTCCGATGATAGCTCCTGGCCTTGTGTTATTATCCGTAATGGCCCTTCACTTAAAAGGAGGCCCAAAACGGGGGCAGATACTCCCGAATTGGAAGTACCCTGTAGATTTTCCCACCTTCAAAAAAAACAGTTCAATTTTCTTTATTAAAATGTGCACTAACAAATATTTACCATTTCGATATTTCTGCCTTTAAGTCAGCAATTAAGTCACAAGCATGCATGTGTAATATTGACTTTTCCGACAGCCCCGCTGGCTGTAGTATTATACGTATGGCGGGTCCTGAGCCTTCATTCTTGAGATTACTATGTGAACCAATGCCCTGTCCTTCAATGGCCCAACGTCGTAAATGAAATGCGTAACGTCGTCGGAAAGTATCTAAATGGGTGTTTAATAACATTAAACCACGCTGGACACACATCAGGGCATTCTCATCTTCATTGTTGCTACGAAGGCGGTTTTCAAAGAAATAAAAAATAAATAAAATTACAACACTTTTGGAAAGGGAGTAGCTTTTATTTACCATTCCAATGCGTTGGCAGCCTGTGTCAGATGTTCCATGCATTGTGATACAAATTCCTTTTCCAGTCGCAATTGCTGGCCCATGTAATACATATTTATGTATTGAATGGCGGCCAGCGACACTTCCGAAGTATGGGCCCTCAATGCAATCTTCCAGAGATGAAACATACCCACAATATTTGATGAGTTTGTGGAAATTGCATCCATTTGCTTTTCATAATGTGCTATGGCCATGCGAGCTAAACTACACAATTGCTGAAATAGGCCCAAAGCAACCATGGAAAAGTCTTCTGGTCTCAGTTCAGGCAATTTTTTTAAATATAAATGTTGCAATGCATCCAATCCTAAGGCATGCTGATCTCCTCCCTTGGCTTGACTTTGCAGCCAAGAGAAATAGCAATCCGAACAGTCCACATCATGGGCCAGCCATTCCCATAGGGCGTCCACTTGTTCTAGACTTAATCTGAAAAAGGAAAGAGACGTTATTTTTTGACAAAATTCAAAAATTTCACAAGTATTAACCTGAAAGTCTTTGGCGAACCCATCGAAGAAAATATCGATGACAAAAACTGTAGACGTACTGACACTTGTGTCTTGTGCGAGTATAGGGACAATTCATTTACCGTTTGTTGTTGCTGTTCACCCGCTGCCTTGGCTACCAAATATTCCATATGCCTTTTGGCATAATATTTAATATTGTTAAAGAAATGATACATCATGCGATGCTGACGTTCAGCCCACATTGTAACATGATGGGTATCGGATGGACGAAATTGTTGGAATGATGCAAATAACTTGGGCAGCAAACGTAGCGAGACAATAACACTGCGATTATTGGCAAGATTTTGTAGACAACCTTCAATAAATTTCGTGCGCAAATGACGATCGTTGCTAAAGCATAACAATGTGGCTAATGCCTTTTCTGCCTCCAGGGCCAATGATTCGCCAAGCTGTCCCTGTTTAAAGCGGAAAAGACAATTACAGTTTTGAAATAAAAAAAATATACAAAAATACTCACAATTTTATCATCCTGTAATAAATCCCATAACAAAGTATTACCCGGCTGACAGACATCATTGATTTTAAATGTTGGTTGTTGCGGTGATATGGATGAAGTCGCAGCTTTATTACATTCCTTGTCCATTTCTGTGTCATTACCATGTTTGCTTGCTGAAGCATTTGAATTGAGACCGGCTGTCACCGCTTTGGCCATTGCGGCAGCATTTGCTTGCTGTTGCATTGCCAACAACGACTGTTGGGCATTGCCAGTGGCAACTGCTGCCACTGCCACAGCAGCTGCTGCCGCCGCTACATTTGCATCATTTTTTTGCATTGACATTGCTGTGTGGGCCGCAGCCATTGCCACTGCTGCTGCAGCTAAGGCTGGTGGCATGCAATTATGAGAAACCCTCTGGGCATGAGAACTCACCAATTGGGCAATCTCTTCCTCACATGGCGAAACATCTTCATCATCAAAATCTGCCAAATTCTTCTCGGATTTATTACTCATTGGTGATGAATAGCTTCCTTCGTTTTCAGCTCCACTCAACAGTTCGCTGATATGAGTTTCTGCTATAGCTCTAATGTATTGACCTCCACCATGTAAATGGGTCAAAACAGCACCCGACACTTGTCCAGTATCACTACAATCATCACTATCATTCAGAAGTTCAGCTTCCGGGTCATCACCGTCGTCGCCATCATCACTTGACGCTTCATCTTCACCGCCATCACAAATGGCTTCAACAATTTCGTAGGCCAATCGTGTCAGGGGCATATTACTGTTATTTTTGCGGGCTCTTTTGCGCGATTTTTTTCGATGCAGTGTTATGTTCAGCGATCCCTGGGTCATGTCATCTTCACTGCTGGAATTGTCGATGATATTTACAATTCGATGATTTTTCATTCTGAAAGAGTAAAAAACAAACAGCAATGGTATTAATCTCAATATTTTATAAGACAACACATTTTGAGGAGGAGATTAAAAGCTGACTACATTGAAAAACAAAAATAAACAAAATGCCAATACTCACTTCATATCTGTGGTGGGTTTAATGATTTTTATATCACCCTCGTTAATAACTTTTCCGAATTTTCCCAACGGTATTATGGGCATTTGACGCCTGCGTCTGGCCTGTTTGCAGGGTGTTACACCCGTATCCGAGGAGCATACATTCTCAATATCTATGGGACTTTTTCGGGCACTAACCAGACTGCTGTCATCGCCATTACCTTCATCTGAATTACTGCCATCCATGCTGCCGCTATCTGAACTTGTTGCTGTGGCATTAGCCGCCATTAGTTCTTCTTCCAAACTCAATTGAGCCGAGTCCCTGGACCATATAAGTTTGGTCAGAGCCGAGGCAATATAAATACTTTGTTCTGTGTGTTCTTTGGGATCCATGCGACACAACAGAGTATACAAATACATCGCAGGTTTTGGAGCTAAATTCTTTACCAGCGATGGCAGAATATCGAAAATTGCCTTGGAGCAGTGTTTCAGCTGTTGTGTAGCCTGCCAAATAAGTTTAATGTGTTCTTCCGTAATTTGATTTTCCACAGCCAAAAAATTCAAAACAATATGGGCCTGTTTCAATACTTCCACATGCAAATTGGGACCAAATAAATGCTGAATTATTTGATTTTCAGTTAACCAGTTTGCAATCTTTTGGGCCACAACCTCAAATTCACCAACCGTTTCGATCTCCCCAAAAATATTGATGTGAGCATTGATTTGTGTGATGCCTAAAAATAGAAAAAAATTAAAAAGAATATATCAATATTTTTATAACTTTTAACTTACCAGCCAATCTCATTGTCAACGTGGTTGATGTAAAATATTTAAATGCCAACGCCAAACCCTCAACGTCAAAACTAACCGATGCATCCAAGGGATCTCGCACAGCTGACCACACAAAATCAGCCATTGCCCTGGTGGCAGCTGTCCTTAGATTTTGATCGGACAGCTTACACATGTATTGTAATATTTTACTTCTCAGCGGTACATACAATTGTACAATGCAACCGTAGTGTAACCATAACTTTATATTCGACACTGTGGCCGTAATGGCATGGGCCGTTGTTACCGGCAAATCAGGTTGATCGAAGCACAACTTCATGGCTGCAAAGCCATTCGAGTTACAAAATAATGTTGTGTTTCGCAACAAGTGAACGGGTATTTCATTGTCATGTAGATCACAAAATATGGCCAAATGTTGTGCCTCTTCGGCCGATATGTCGTCCAGACGAGCATGGGTACTGTGTTTGTACGCAATGTATAGTGGAAAATTGAGCAAGAAGATCTTGGATACCAAGAGTAGCAATTTTTCGACTTCGGGTAATATCCAAGGCTCTTCGGTGTGTTGGGATACTGTTGAAGAGGATGGTGATGGTTGTGATGCGGATGCGGCTTTATCACCACCAGACGACCCAATCGATGACTGCTGCGTTGAATCATCCGATGTTTTCGATGTTACAGCTTCTGTGGGGTTTGTTGACTGTGGTTTTTCATCGTCTGTGGAGCTGCTACCCGACTTTTTATATAGTTTTTCGTCCTTTGCTGGATCTGATTCTATTTTCTTCTGTGTACTACCAGCATCTTTTTTGTCTTCAACTTTATTTTCTTCTTTCGTTGCTGTGGTAGTTGTTTTTTCATCCTCCTTGGATGGTTGGCCTTCTGCATTGGCGCAGCTACCGGCTGATGATTGAGTCTGTGCTGGGGCTTGTGTAGCAGCCGCATGAGCTGTAATTTTTCTATAGTCCTCAATTAAACGTTTAATGTGTTTCAAATGATGGACCGCTAAGCAGATCATCGATTGTATCAGTAAATTGAAACGTTCGAAATTTTTCGTGTCTCGATATAGACACATGCATTGCCTTTGAGGCCATGCCTGTATGTAACCAAATGCTGTTTCAATTTCACTTTTATAAATGATCGAATGCTTGGCATCATTGCTGGTTATTCGTGTCTCATCTGAAATGGAAGATATACAAGTTTTAGAATAATAATTGATAACTGGATGAATTATAAAAATTAGCAGCATCATATGACCTCCAAAAAAAATTCTCTCGTGAAGGTGAAATAAAATGGCACCCTGTTGCACCTGGTAAAAAAATACTTACGGCATCCTTGAAGACCACTGCTTAACAGTGGTGGCTCTCAGCCGAAGGAGATGAGAATGAGAACAAATGTATAAGTTCCATATATAATGACAATGGTTTAAACTATAGAATACAATAGGTTGATTACATATCTGTTCTGGACAAAGTAGTACAACGGTAGGTGGGAAATATAGACTAAAGGTTTTATTCTGTCATACGTCCATGGGGTTGGTTGATTATACTTTTTCGACGGCCTTTTAAGGCTTGGAAATCATTCTTTCAAATATAATTAGGAAGATGTAGCAATGACTAAGTGTTGGGTTGAGTAGCTAGTTCTATATTTGGAACGGAGTAGAACTTAAATATTACTTAAAAACTTAGGGGGCCTGAACCTTGTTTATTCTTAAAACAGATATAGCAACGGTGCCTGCAACGGATATAAACTGAACTTAGGAACGTTCAGTAACTAAATGTGATCACATTCATTCACTAAAAAGGATATCTCCACTGTCATTTACTGAAATAAGATACAGTTACACAATTTATGAGACTGGTCTATGTTAGCCTGCAGAGGACAAATATAATGTATCATTCCTCTATGAGCCGGAGGTAAGGGTATCGGAGTAATACTGAGACCTCTTTTAACAACGTTTCCACACCTTTCCATCTACTCCCCCGTTTTCTTTTTCTTTCAGCACTATTTCGGGACAATCGCTGTTCCTACACACACGCACTCACGCAAACGACATAGGCAGGCTCTATTTTTCTTTGTTAAAATTTGGTATTAAATTATAAGGATTTTGTTTACAGCACCGGCTTTTTTACATGTATTTCAAACAAATCACATGCCGTTCTATGTATGCCTCCCAAATTGGAAACACCACCCAGCATGATTGAGCATGGATGTCTGCTACGTGTTCGGCGACATAAACACATTCAGCCAATGTCCTTTTTTACTTACACGACTCCAATAATTGCTGGAAATCAGAACAAATATCACACATATTTCCACTCATTTGGCAAAGTTGTTTTGGAAAAATCCAGTCCTCCAAACAGCGCCGATGACCAGAAGATATGTGCTTCTTCTCTCAGTTAGTCTGCCTTTTCGGCGTAGAATTTTTCTCCTTTTTCTAGCCGTCGTTTTTCACAGCTACTGTTTTGCCTGGCAATAGTTAAGATTTGTTTTTTTCGGTTTCGCACGGTTTGCATTCGCGTTTTTAATGGTTTATTGCAAACCCCATTGTATGTTTTTGCAAATTATTTAGTTTTTGTAAATTTTTTTAAGTATATTGTGGATAATTTATGAAAATTTTACAACGAATTCATTCACTTTTCCTCTTTTTTTCCTTGCAAATAAATCTGCCTGTATAGTAGGGTTAGGGAACTGTAAACCGCCACTCGAATTATCGATAATGTGCAAAAAGTCGTTATCGGTTGTTACAGCGTTATCGATTGAGAGGTCGTTTTTACTTTACTTTGATCCTGGCCAAAGGAAAATTCATAAATCACCATTAAACCAGAAAAAGCGCCAGAAAGGCATACACAGGATATGTAAAAGTTAACAGGTGCTGACTCTGAAAAATACAACAAAGAAACGAATTCCCTTTGTAAAGCATTGCCAGCCAGGATATTTGCATAGTAACAAAACGATTAATAGATCCCTATTGTTTATACCAAAACAGCTGTTTAGTCCTGCGTTGCTTTCGAATGTTCAATTTCTTCTTTGCTTTTGATAGTATTTGACTCAACTCATGGTAGAAGAATACAGGTAGTCGCATCGAAACAGCTGCTGGAACAATGAACTGTCAAACTAAATTTGAAATTCAAAATGTTGAATGAAAAGTTATTAAAATTCGTAAAAATTGTTGAAAAATGATTATCATAATAATATCCGTTTGGCGTCGTATAAGAAAACATATAAAAATATATTTATTTTCGAAACAACATTTCAAAAATTTTGACACATCAAGGTTCCCAAGCGTTGATGCATCTACCTATATTCTTCTACCATGGTACAACTAAAAGGTAATGTAGCGCTACCAGCTGTGTGCCGGACTTCTGCCAATTTTGTGTATGTACTTACTGTTTTGAAAAATAAAATATTTTCAAAATTAATGATTGGAAGAAACGTACATTGCGGGGCGCGTTTGAAAGATGTAAGATTGAAGACAAGGATTGAAGATAGTAATCAATTAAATACAATTTTTTCTTTAGGTAGTTTGTAATGTAAAAAATGTTTACAGTTGTTTATGAGTATGTTTTGTTCTAATAATAAACAAACTAATTTAAAAATATTAAAATCAGTTAAAATTTAAATTCATATTAGAGCTTCAATGCATAAAAAACACTTCCCATCTCTGATTTTGTGTGAATACAATGGATTTATAAGTATACATTTTGAGAATGAGATGTTGTCAAATGTATAAATTAGAAAAAATTGTAAACATATGATTACATGACTTTACCTTCTTAGTTCTACCATGATTACAGCTTTTCGAAAGAACGAATGCTTCCGTTTTGGGATGAAAAGAATTTTAATTGAATCAACAACTCGAGGCTGTGAAAAGTCCACGGCGATTTTATTATAAAAAATATTGGGAGAAACTAGTCAAATAAAACAACAAACTATTGCATTTGTTAAACTAAATTTGAGATCCAAGACTCTAGCTTGAGAGTTGTGTTTTTCAAATTTAGTCATTCTGCCATACCTTGTAATTATTGTACCATGATCTAACCAATGTTTTAAACAAACATCATTCGTTAAAATCTAATTGAATTTTCGATTGTTTTTCTTTTCTATCCGCTATTTTTTATACAGTAGATCCAAGCTAAACTTAGCAAACAACTTTCTTTCATGCAATGTAACCTAGTGTAGTGTATACGGTAATAGAACCAATGTAAAATTAAGAAGGTGAAGTCATTTCAAATAAGCATTCCCTGTAACTCTGCATTTTCTGTAACTAAGCTGTCACAACAAAAACAAATTTGTTTATTTACAATAATAAACAATTGAATTATTCAATAAAATTTATAAAAAAATGTATCAATTCAATGTGGATCACGTTTCCGTCTTTTAGGTCTGTGTGCTGAGAACGAAAACTCTCAGAGGGAGTATCTGATTTCGATCAGAGATAGGCACTCCTTCCAGTATCTCCCCCACAAAGGATTACAATTTTGAATAATATCTCTTATAAAATGTGAAGTAAGAATCACATTGTCTTCAAATTTCGCAGACGTAATATTTCTATCAACAAACGATCTAGTGTGAAGATGGGATTCATTGGTCCATTCTTCTGTTTTCTCGCCCAGAAAGTGTCAAACCTTGGAATAATTATAACACTCACAAAATGCGAAATAAGAAAAGAATTCTTTTCAAACTCTGCACATCGAAATACATCTGCAAACAAATGATTCGGTGAGAGGATAGGATATATCGGATCACTTCTTCAAGTACCTCCCCACCAAGAACCCGATTTTTTGAATAATAAAATCTGTTGTAAAATGTAAAATAAGAGTGCCATTGTCTTTAAATTTGGCAAATCGAAATATTTCTTCCAACACAATATCTGGTATAAAGAACAGATTGAATCGACCACTTCTTCTGGCACACCATCCACACACTAAGGACGCTCAGGAGTATCCGATTATTCTCAAATTTGGCACAACCTCACAGTTCAACAACACAAGATTTTTTGTGCAGATGAAATATATCGGCTCACTTCTTCCGACACTTCCCCCACAAAGGGTCGGATTCGGAAAAAGTAAAAAAAGATTCATGGCCGCCCGCATCACTTTTATTGCAAAACAAATCTAAAGATGCAAAGAAAACTTTCTCATATTTTCAAATTGAAATAAGTATTATTTTTTTCCAAACATAAATGACATCAGTTAATGTGTATACATCAAATGTCTGACAAACTCATTTTGACAATGAAATGTTGTCAATGGACAATTTTGAAAAAAATTGTAGAACAAAAGTTTTCTGTTTTTATTTATTTAACAAAATAATGGCATTTATTCTAAAACTCACCAAATTTCTATGTAAAAGTAAAACAAACGATTGTTGGAAAATATATTTGGAGAAGTCCCTAAAAGCTAATTTATCACAAATTTCAAAGTGTTGTGAAATTTTCAGACGTAAATATTAAAATAAATGGGAGGACAACGAGGAAAACCCACTGTTGAAGGGAGAAATTTAGTAATTAAACATTACAATACCCCTAAATCGCCTAGTGAGTGAGATATATGAGATTGTTAATAGAAGCCGATCTACGGTTCAGTACGTCATAAAATGGTTCAAATCAGATGAAAGTGTAGAAAATAAATCAAAAACGGCAAATAATAAAATATTTACCTTGAATAATGAGAAGTATATTTTACGGAAGATCACAAAGAATCCATTTTTGAGTACACTGAAGCTCGCAAAAATTGCTGAAAAGGATTTGAGAGAAGTATGTTGCCCTCAAACAATAGCAAAAAATAAGAGCAAGACATAAACCTCTAATCCGCAAGCGAAATTAAGAAGTAAGATTGCGATTAGCCAAGCAGCACATATCAAAAGAGTTTTTATTTTGGAAGAATGTGTTGTTCACGGACGAGAGCAAGTTATACATTTTTGGTTCAGATGGCAGACCTTATATATAGAGAAATTGAATGCATAAAAAATCAAAAGGGGTAGAAAAGTGCACCGGGTTCAGCTACTTTGATATATAGAATAGGAATAGACTAGAATTATGCATTTCGGTGCGATTGAAACGACGATTTGTACTAAAAATAATATATAAATTCCCTTGATAATTGTAGTATTACAAACATATAATGCGCGCATTCAAATTTGAATGCTAATAATTAGAAGCATTCAAAGTAGAAGTAGTAAAAAACTTAATAATTATGAAACAATCCAACAATATTAAAAAAAACAGAAAATAGGGTTGATGGCAATATTAACAGAGGCGAAGAAAATATTAACATAGCTGTGGGGTACGTAGCACAGTACGTATACTTAGAGAATAAAAAATGTCAAATAAAAAAATAATTTAAAAAATGTTGTTCATAAAAAAATCTTAAAAAATGTCACAAAAAAAGATTTTCCCCAAAAAATCAATGTGAAACAAACGGGGTAGAAAAAAATAGGCTACGAAGAAAGCAAGAAGCGGATTTTCTGCAGTAAAAAGTAGAATTTATGTTATTTGCATTAAAAATTAAATTAATAAGAGTCTTCTTATTTGAAATTTAAACACAACATAGCTTTAAAGTGGATCCAGAGTTGATCCGTTTGAAAGATATATTTTTTAAAATTCAAACCATTTACGTATTTAAAGCCTATTAATTTTATTTCCTCCACATATAACATTTATATGTGTATAGAGCATTAATTGAGGCAATTTTTTTAAAGCGACTTTGTAGCATTTCATTTGAAAACTGAAATTTTTATTTTGTATTAGCAATTACGATTTCGAAGACAATCGATTGTCCTTTTTCATTAGGTTCACACAACGGCAGCATTTTGTCTTTTGAACGGCACTCTTGTTTATTGTGTACCCTGAAACATACCTTTTAACTTGTGTTTCGCACAAATGTATCTCCTTAAGAAACTCTAAATCATCTTCAGAGCCGGAGTTAGAGTGTAACAATTTTAAATATCCAATTACATGAACATCACCGGTATTTTTCAATGATATTGGAAGTGAAATACTACCATCTTCTTAGCAATTGGAATTTTTAGTTGTTTTTAAAATATCGGAAGATATTATTTTGACGCTTATGTACCTCACCTCCTTTACTTATGGGTGTGTATTATTGCCTAGGGAAGAACGTATCCGGGAAAAGAAATGTTCCAAAGCATCCTGGTTTAATTTATAAGACAATATAAATTGGATCTTTGGGTAATCCCTAAATATGTCTTCGGAAAGCAATAAGATACACTGTATTGTTTGCCAAAACCCATCAAAAGCCCATCAATACATACGGGTTTGTTGTTGGGATTTGCGGACGATGTCGTTTTGACATTTAATTCGTCGAATATATCATTTAGCCTTTTAAAAAGCTGCTGGGTATGCGTCGTCTGAAATACAACCGTTTTCCATACACGTACGCATTGCGGCAGCTACAGAATGTCGGAAAGATGTCGTATCTGTTGTGTCGTTCACGATGAGGTGGAAATAAAGCCCGTTCTAGAATACAACAGAGCAGAAGACGTTGTGGACGGGATTTTGGTAAGGACAGAAGAAATGGAAAGGATATGTTTTTGTTTTATGAAATACTATGATTATGATCAAAGGCATATGTTCCGACTGGAAATTTATAATAAGTTTTTACGCTGTGTCTAAATATATGACAAAAGCGCCGAAAC